TTTTATTGTTTGGCTTTACTCTTAATTTCATTGTTATCCATGTACGTCATGTAGATTTGTATTTACATATAGGCTATAAACATATTCCTTGTAAATCAGTTTGTAAGCATTGTTTTGTACTATATTAATAAAATAAATAACGGTTGTTATTATTATTGTTGTTGTTTTATTATTACTATTAGATTGAAATCTATATTATATTATAGGTTTGGCTTTACTCTTTTATTTTTCTTGTTATTTTATTATTCACATATTTTATGTATATTTGTCTCTACGCATACATGTAAGCAAAACATGGACTGTTTTTACTATATTATTAAAATAAATACCGTTTATTATTATTATTGTTATTATATTAATTTGAACATTATATAATATTTATTATATTATATGTTTGTTTTTTTCTTGTTATCTTATCATTCCGATGTTATGTAGGCCTATATTTGTATATACTCTTGTAAAGCACTTTGTAAACACTGTTTTTACTATATGGATAAAATAAATAACGTTTAATTATGATTATTTGTTATTCGATTGCAATTTATATATATTATATTCGGCTTAACTCTTTTAGGTTTCTTATTAATTTTCGAATTAATCAGATATGTCATGTATATTTGTATCTATCTACATATACATATAGGTTATAGGCTACATATTCCTATGTAAATAAATAAAATACATTATTATTATTAATATTATTATATTTGTAACTTCATTACAGTCTTATAAGTGAAATATTCACTAACAAAGTCTGTACAGAATAGGGGTCACTGCAACAATTGTCACCGATGTGTTTCTATGATTGTGTGTTGATGTGATTACTGACCACTAGAGGGTGACAAACTCACTTTAGTCACGGAGAGATCAACTGCTGATCTTCACCTGCTGCTGGTGGAGTGTGATGCTGTTCTTATGGAAACACCCCACTAATTAATTAGTTCAAGTCAGATGAGTTTGAAAGAATCCAGCACTACTGGATAATTATTTTTATGGCAAGAATCCAGATAATAGAATAATAATAATTTCTGCCGTGCCACACTGCAGCTCACCGCTTTGGCCCGTGTTATAGTTTGTGCATACTAGTAGACTTTAGGTAATGATCAGCCAATGGTCAAGTGTCAATTTTGGGCCTTTGGAAAACCTACCATCATAAAACGGTACACAGTGATTTCTGTACACCAAATGCTTGTCATTATAAAGTTAAAGAGCATATAAAATCATATAACCTTGTATTAATTGCACCGGCTCAGGACATCAAAACATGTTGAGAAATGATATACAGGCATCAACATCACAGACATGAGCATCATAATAACATATTGAGTAACTTTGTCCTCAAGTGAAATCTTGTGACCCTGTGACATGCAATAACACATTGATATGCCCTCATCAGGTCATGTTGCACTGCAATAGACACAACAAACCACTGCAACAATAACTGAACAAAAAGTTCAGTTAAAGGGGTCCTATTATGCTCTTTTACAAAGTCTTGATTTCACAAATCCCGGAAAATATGTGTTGTAGTCCAAACGAGTCGTTCGTTGTAGTTTTTAAAAAGTGATTTCTGTTAAATAAAATATCTCCTTTTGAAGTGGACTTTGAACTTTGTAACTTTGCAGATCTTTTTTATGCTCAAACAGCAACATTACAGACTAACTAAAGTTGAAAAAGTGAAAAAGCATAATAGGACCCCTTTAACTGAAATGGCAATGAAATATCTGTGAAAATGAAATAACTGCTGCTTCTGGCCAAAATGCCAGTTCATAGAACATAATAACCCTTCCTCTAGTGAAAAAGTCCGTCCCCTGTGGTCCTTTCACATCAAAATCCACCACCATATTTGTTTAAAACTGTTTTGGACTGTTTTCACTTGTAAATGGTGTTTATTTCTGTGCATATTTCCCTCCTGAATCTGGACTGGTATTTTAACATCTTAATGATGGATTTGTTTTTGTTTTTTTACAAACATGCAGATTTTTGCTTCTCAAGACATTAAGTGATGGACTGGAGTTGTGTGGATTACTTGTGATTTATCAGCTGTTTGGACTCTCATTCTGACGGCACCCATTCACTGCAGAGGATCCACTGGTGAGCAAGTGATGTACTGCTAAATCTGTTCCGATGAAGAAACAAACTCATCTACATCTGGCCTGAAGGTGAGTACATTTTCAGCAAATTTTCCTTTTTGGCTTAACTATTCCTTTAAACTCACAGATTTTCAGTTTAAATGAGAAGGAACAGCTAAGCTTGTTGACCGTATTCGTGAAATGTTTTTAACAACATGTTGCACATTCTCACATGCTTTGCAGCAGTAAGCTATCAATACTCTGAGCGCAGTGCACACACCCTTTCACTGCACAGAACCTACTGGAGAGCAAGGAGAGGTCATTTGTTTATTTTCAGCACACTTGTCCAGACACAGAGATTCAGGGCTTACATGAAAGGCACTTTGTTTCGTGCAGTGGTGGACATAAAAGCTCTGACTAATAAGTTGGCTATGTGAGCCCAAAGTAGATGCAACTTTTAAGATTGCAAGTAAATAAACATGTATTTTTCTTGCTGTCTGCATGGTGTCTTTTGAGTAGAGATTGCTCTATTGTTTGTCTGTAACAGTGCATGATTAGGCATCCTTGCCAACATATAATAATGGGTCTTTTTAATTTATTTTTTTAAATAAGAAATGTTTCTTGAGCACCAAATCAGCATATTAGAATGATTTCTGAAGGATCATGTGACACTGAAGACTGGAGTAATGATGACTGGAGTAAATATATTAAAACAGAAAACAGTTCTTTTAGATTGTAATAATATAATTAATATACTGATATAATAACATCAGTAATTTCACACTATTACTGTTTTCCTGTATTTTTTTATCAAATAAATGCAGCCTTGGTGAGAATAAGAGACTTCTTTCAAAAACTTTTAACAAATCTTAACGACCACAAACTTTTGAACAGTGGTGTGTAGTTAAGAAATGTTTGTGTGTGAGTTTATAATCAACCAAAATCATTTTCTGACAGATTAATATATCAACCAGGCCAATTAAAGGTCAATAACCTGTGTGTCAGTTCCAAAGTAATAATAAACATAAGTAAACAATATTTAAAAAAATATATGATGCATTTAGAATATAATTAATTTAATATTTTTTCTATTCTTTTCATTATTCATTATTAGTAATTTTGTGTATATATCATTTGCTATCAATGAACTGTATTATGTATATTTGCATTACATAGCCATCAGTCACCCTGCTCTCTAGATACTGTCATTTGCCCTTGTTAACCCCATTTCAGATGAATATCATATGATATCCAGGTCTTCACCCTCACAATGTGCCTACATGCACTGAGATCTAGTTTCATACCCACTACTAGAAATTTCCTAGAGGAGACTGCAGTGTGTTCATAACTAAACTATAATAAACAGCACAGATGAAGGCCAGTACTTTCCTTCCCTGAGAGTTTTATGTGAGGGGTTTGTAGGGATTAGATTTGTAACAATCTACACATTGTATTTTAAAACGGTCTGTGATATTTGAGAGCAGCCCCGTGTTTTTCACTGAAACAGAGACCTTCCTTTCATTCGTGCTACTTCACTGAAGAGTGAAAACCGCTCTTTATAACCGCTGCCCAGCCTGTCCACCAGCGTCCCTTTTTGTAGCTCTTTGGAAGCATGTTCAGTTTTGCCATTTGTGCACAACGATGACAAGACACAAAAGCATGCTGGCCATAAATAGCGCCGAGCAGCAGAGGATTGCTCCCTGCCTGCGGATCAAATTCTCCAAAGGGAAAAGCAGCCACTGGCCTCAAGCCCAGATCTACTGCAAGACCACGCTCATAGAAACCGCCTGGCCTGTAAGAAGTAGTGAAGGAGGCTGGGCTGCTCATTTTAACTGTACTAAGTGCTGCCCTCAATCTAAAGATGTATGTATATGATTTTCTATAAGTGAGTTCAACACTTTACTTGATTGTAGGGATATGCCGGTATCAAATTTTCATGTTGCGATTAATTGCTAATGCTTTTATCACGGTATACGGTATTATCACGGTATTGAAATTTAGTTTTAAAAAAGTGCTGTCATAATACAGTATAACAGGTTTAATAACTTTTTTCTTATAACAAAAATAACTGAACATTTAAATGCAATAAAGCAATACAGAAAAATGTATAAAGCTAAAAGTTTTACACAGATTAAAGTAGAAGAGCCCACGATAACAATATCGTGCATATTCATTACCGTGATATATCGCATGACCGAATACCGGCACAAGTCTACTTGATTGGTATGCTAGAATCAGAATGCCTAAAAAAGCTTAACCAAACACTAACAAACCATTCAATAACTAGAAAATTAAAGTTTGTCAAGTATAGTAAAGTTTGTTCAATATAGCCTAAAGCAGAATTAAAAAGTCTTTAAGTTTGTATTGACCTTACATACTTCTATATCTATAGAGCATTAAGGGATAGATAGATAGATAGATAGATAGATAGGACAGAATGATAGACAGACAGACACAGATAGATAGATAGATCGATAGATAGGACAGAATGATTGATAGACAGACAGATCGACAGACAGACAGATAGATAGACAGACAGACAGATATAGATAGGACAGAATGATAGATAGATAGATAGCTAGATAGACAGACAGACAGACAGATAGATAGACAGACATAGATAGGACAGAATGATTGATTGATAGATAGCTAGACAGACAGACAGACAGACAGACAGACAGACAGACAGACAGACAGACAGATAGATAGATAGATATAGATAGATGACAGAACGATGGATGGATGGATAGATAGATGATAGTCTTTAAGAGTTAGCCTTGACTCAGAACATTAAAAAAGTTACGTATACTATAATAAATTATATTATAATAAATAATAATGATAAAATAAAGTTAATAAATATGAAATATTTTTCATTAAACAACTCCTTCAATGAAGGTGGTTCTGAAGTAAACCCAGCTCAGAACATCATCACGTCTCACACCCTGTTAAAATCAGCCACCGTTTAACTGAGCCAAGAATTCTGCCACAAGCTTTTATTTCAGTGGCACCTTCCTCGATCTCAAAAACAATGTTTCACTTCAGGCTGCAAATATTGCCAACTTTACAGATAATATTGTGTTTTCATGTAGTGTTAAAAAAAGAAAAATCATTCCAAGCAGCTCGGCTTCACGTTCAGAGGTGCGTTTGAATCACAGGCTGCAGTGGAAGAGTTCAGAACCCATCTGTTTATGTCCATATGTGTAACAGGAATGAAAACTGTGGTAACTCCTATTCCGGGCTGACACACACACAAATTCCATAGTCCTCCTTCAACTGGTAGTGTAAAAACCAAAAGTGCTTCATTTATCTGCATAGACTTAATGTGTTCGCCATGTCAAATGAGCCAGATTAGGTAGAAGACTTCAAATAAATAGTTTCAAATGTGTAAAGTGCTTGTCACTGGTTAACGCATAGCTGTGAGGAATTAACGTACAGCATTCTCATGTAGTTCTCTTAAAGCATAATAGAATATCTCAGCGAATATCAACTCTTAGTATCTGATCATCCGAGCTTTCTACTGTCGTTTGGCAAAACACAAAGAGGGAGACAGAAAGTTCTTTGGGGATGTATAAAAGCTAACTGCAAAAGTAAGCTAGCATTCAGCTGGTAGATTTTTTCTTACATATGTTAATGAGAGACACATACTGGTTATATATTAGTTATTTGGTGTCATAGCAATGTATTGAACAATCATCACTCAGGACCCAGCATCCAGATACTATCTGTTTTATAAAGACGCATTATGGGTATTATTAGTGAATATGACTGTACTCACCTGTAAACTTCTTCTTAATTGCATCTTTTGAGCTAGCATAAATCATCTTGCTTTTTAACGGCGCACCTTCAGGGGCCCTGTAATCAAAAACATCAATGCTGAGTACACATGCGGACAAAGAAAAATTAATTGACTTGTGTATTTTGTGTATAGCAGAACTGAAAAGCAACAAACAGCAAGGTTATTATTATTATTAACTGAAGCTTTTAAAACTATATTTCCATCAATTAAAATAAAAATAATTAATTAAAAAAATAATTATGTTGGATGGTCTGGTTTAATTAAATTCGGAAGCCTGATGTTAAACTATCAGTGCATTCTAAAAAAAAAAAACACCAACAAAAAACACAATTCAACCAGTTAGACAAGTTTACTTCTTGTATGTGTTGCTATAGACAGATCAAACAAGTCATAAGAAATAAAAAATGGAACTAATACTTAAAATAATAAAAAAAAACATTTATAGTGCTTTTCCAAAGATACAAATTTAATAAAACCAATTGAAGAACAATTCAAACTACCTAAACTAAAATCAAAATTCCAATAAAATGCATAAATAAATGCATAAAAAATAAATGCATAAATAAATTAATAAATGCATATAATAAAAAATGCATAAATAAGTAAATAAATAAATACAATAAAAAAACAAAAAATGTATCTGTTATTATTAAGGTTGCAAAGGGGCGGAAAATTTCCAAAACATCTTGGAAAGTTTCCAGAAATTTACCAGAAATTTTACGCCCCTTTGCAATCCTAATAATTATCTTGCCAGTCAGACTACATACCAAAATATGAATACCAAGTCTTCTTTCTTGGACTCTTTAGTTTCATAAGTGGCATCGTATAAGCCGTATCTGCAGTCGTTGAGAGGTAGGAGCTTCACGAAGCAGGCGTAGGGGTCATCGACAGTGTCTCCAATGTCTCCGACTAAGATATGCTTGCCCTCTTCTACGACGATCTTCTTCTTGTCATCGCTGAGGCAGAACAGCACTGCCTTTTTGCGCTTTTTCACCTCGTCTGAAGACGAGGACTTCCGTACTTTCATGTCATTGAAGACTTTGATGACTTCATCACTGACTGTGACACCAGAGGCCTGCGATGAGGATGGGATTGAGATAAGTACAGACAGCTGATACGAAAACAGCACTTCTAACAACCATAGTAAAAAATAACAACTGTATGAATCCTCCAGATAATATTAGAGATCTGGATCACCTCACTGGCATAGCCAGCTGGTCTGTCACTACAGTTCAAATCTCTCACTCCCGGTCCAAAATGGAGTCATAGTGGGGTGCCTGGGCCACAATACAACTATGAGAGCTCCTCCTGGGACTTTTTAAAGACATTTGGATTCATGATCAATGACACTTCGCCCTCAACACAAATGAGGCCCTTCGAAGTTTGAACAGTGCATTAATCCATTGAAACAAAACAGTGATTAATGTCAAATGAACATTACTACTCGCATGCCATTTTAAAATGTATTCCTCAAACCTCACTGGTAACTTATTACCATGTATTTTTATTTTTCTCCTAGCAACTGACTAGTACCTACTTTTACTGGCAATTATTCATGATATCACTTATTTGATATTATTAGAGGATTAAAATTAAATATTGGAGGAATAAAATTGGATATTAGTAAGATGATTACTATAGATTCAGATAAGAATTTAATTAGATATTAGTACTACTTATTCTTTGGATACCATCAACTACTCCAATTGCACTTAAATAAATAAATAAATCTTACTTGCTTGTATTTGTCTTGTTTACCAGTACAAATATTAAAAACAATTTTAAATTATAAGCAAAAATTAGTATTATTGAAATTTAAAAAATACGATAGACGAGGACTTCCGTACTTTCATGTCATTGAAGACTTTGATGACTTCATCACTGACTGTGACACCAGAGGCCTGCGATGAGGATGGGATTGAGATAAGTACAGACAGCTGATACGAAAACAGCACTTCTAACAACCATAGTAAAAAATAACAACTGTATGAATCCTCCAGATAATATTAGAGATCTGGATCACCTCACTGGCATAGCCAGCTGGTCTGTCACTACAGTTCAAATCTCTCACTCCCGGTCCAAAATGGAGTCATAGTGGGGTGCCTGGGCCACAATACAACTATGAGAGCTCCTCCTGGGACTTTTTAAAGACATTTGGATTCATGATCAATGACACTTCGCCCTCAACACAAATGAGGCCCTTCGAAGTTTGAACAGTGCATTAATCCATTGAAACAAAACAGTGATTAATGTCAAATGAACATTACTACTCGCATGCCATTTTAAAATGTATTCCTCAAACCTCACTGGTAACTTATTACCATGTATTTTTATTTTTCTCCTAGCAACTGACTAGTACCTACTTTTACTGGCAATTATTCATGATATCACTTATTTGATATTATTAGAGGATTAAAATTAAATATTGGAGGAATAAAATTGGATATTAGTAAGATGATTACTATAGATTCAGATAAGAATTTAATTAGATATTAGTACTACTTATTCTTTGGATACCATCAACTACTCCAATTGCACTTAAATAAATAAATAAATCTTACTTGCTTGTATTTGTCTTGTTTACCAGTACAAATATTAAAAACAATTTTAAATTATAAGCAAAAATTAGTATTATTGAAATTTAAAAAATACGATTTTTTTTTTTTTTTTAGAAAAAACTCAAATAATTAATAGATAGTAATATATAAACCATATAAATAATAAACAAAATAATATCAACCTAGTTTCTTACTAGTGTCTTTTATTGGATATAAGCAGCATCTGATTTTTCTTTACTTTTTAGAATAATTTATTTTGTACTTATTTATGTCTAGAACAATGGCTACTTGATAGTGTTTTGCTTTTTTTACAAACAACTATTATAAGTTACAATTACTATACATACTAGTAACAAAATAATGACTACTGACTATTAAAGTACTGCTAAACATGAGGTTAGTAGTTAGAAAAAGTACTGAATAGGTAATATTATTTAATTAAGTATTTAGTGCATTTTTCATATATTCAATATTGATTAAACAAGTAGTGTCAACTCTTGTAATAGTTACTAGTATCGAAAGTACTAGTTAGTGTGAAGTAGTTAACAGTAAGTTAATAGGCAGTCATGGCGCAGGCGCACAGACGCGCTCTGAGCAGCTGGTGTGGAGCTCCGACTCTCTCACTCACACTATGGCCACTAAATCCTACTGAATCAAGAACAAGTAGCCGAATTCACTTCCCAGGACGCACATTAGGCATCTGACAGCAACAAACAGCTCGTTCTGATCTAAGTATTATCGTATGAGTCCATCCGTTCAAGTCCCGATGATTTATTTCTCCAGCACCCGTGAGAAAAAGTTGGAGAGGCGCGCGCTCAGAGTGATTAAAGCACCGGCTAAAATTAGCTTAAAATGGCCGCCTCGGGCTACAGGCCTGAGATATAGATTCATATCAAACTAAAACCGATGTTGGTAACCACAAAATCAACTTAGAGCCGGATAGAGCTTTATATTCTTTAACCGGAGCGCATACAATCACGGACCTCGCGACAGCGCCACATTACATATCCTGCCGGAGCTGAAAACGTGACAGTTACCGATCAAAAGTTTGACAGAAAGAGTTTCAAAATAACATTATACCATCTGTTATGAATTAAGAATGAACGATGTGTGAGAGAAGACCTATGCTTACCATGCTGTCCGACGAAATGAATCAATGAACGATTATTTTCTTGGTACTTCTATCTGGGAATGTGAACAGCCGAGACAGTGCGAGTGTGTGTGAGAGAGAGAGAAATCACTGCACAGCCGCAGTGAAGGGCTGATCTAGCACATGCACTGTCATTGGGACACTTGGAAATGAAGCGGACAAATATGTGCCACACATTTGAATTACAACTTGGCATAATAATGTTTAAAACAATAACTTAAATGTACTGAAAATATGACGTTACCTGTCTAACAAACTTTTAAGTCATGAACAGTACATAAGACATTTGACTTCGAATAAGAGCAATATCTAGCAATTGTTATATTTGAGACCAGATAATAATATTCATCATATCCGTTCATGACTAAATTACCTTATTCATTAGAAGTTGAAGGCACATGAGCTGATGATTTGTTATAAACTTTAAAATACCCGTATGCAACGTTATACAGTGTACACATTTTAAATGGATAAAGCCAAGATTAATTTTTTCTTCACTTAAAGTGCACCTAACTCCAAACGTATACAATTTATGCATAACTGAAAATCAGTGATGAAAACAAGTGGTCAAGCCAAATATTAACAAAATTTATTTTACATACAGAAAAAAAGATTTACACATCAGGTAAAATTAATCTTGAGACCCATGAGAGGAAAACTGATTCATACAGCTTTCTGATGGAGAGACACAACCTATAAAGACAATTTTATAAATAAAGCAAGCAAATTATACCCAAATCTAAATAAATACCAAAAACTGTAAATGGAAGCAACAAAATGGGATGATTTGGTTTCTACGTAGTGTTTATGCAAGCTAGGGACCTGAACAAAAGAACTGAGTTTATTTTTACAACTATTCACAACTACAAAACAGAAATTCTATTGGTTCCTTTGAGCTGCGAGACTTAATTTGTCAAAATGGAGACTCCGGTCTATAAAAATCTATACAAAATAGTAGTCTAGAAATGCAGTTGAGGTACAAAAAAACCCCCCAATATGCACCATTTTGAAATTGCAGACAAAAACAATGCTTTTTGTCCCGAGTTAATACGTGAACACAAAAATAACTTGTCAGAAAACAGTGCAAATATTTTTTTTCTTTACAGCACAGTTGTTTTTCCTTTCTCCTGCTAGTGAAGGACTTATACTTTGCTCCATAGGATTAAAGGCCGATTTATAGTCCTGTCACTAGCTGTGAAGATAAATTCCGCTTGATATCCGGCTGCTTGAGTGCCGTTTTGCTTGCACACTGAACATTGCAAATAAAACTGTGAACAAGAGCTAGGTAGAATTTTTAATGAGTCACACCACACTGGAATGTTCATGAACATTCCACAAATGCCACGGAACAACATAATTAGACAGCGGATTATGAACTGGCCTTCATTCTGAGCCAGTTGGTGTATTTGTGTGGAAGACAGGCTTTTGTTTACATCCGTGGCTGTTTCTGTGGAGGGGTCATGCGTTCAGCCAGGCCGAGTCTCTGAAGCTCAGAATGGAAGAAGGCCTGGAGCCGCAGACCGGCCTTTGCTTCGTTGGTGTTACTTGGGTTGTACTCCAGACAGTTGGAAAACATGAGCTCCACATCCTTAATATACTCCGCTATGAGATTAATAACACAAAAGAAACTACATTTAGCAATGATTCATGTTGTGCGACTCTATCAAGCTATTAAAGTGGTTTAGATACGGTTCACTCTAAATTATGTCTTGATATACTCAAGTGGATATTTCAACTTGTTTAAAAAGAAAAAAACTTCAACCTTCAATTCTTACCAGCAGTTTGGTATTCACAGTTGTTGACCTTTTCCCTGATTGTGCTCAAGGCGATGGGTTTTTTGATTATGTCATAGTAATCGGGCACCTGGAAAAATGTGTGCAATAAAAGTAGTAATTAAAACCATGAAAATAATGCCTCGGTGCAAAACTGGGATAGTGAGATGTCACAGAACAACTGCACAGATTATTTAGGAGTACAGCTGGTCGTAAAGTAACCATGAATGGGAGCTCCATGGCCTTGTTACAGAGAGGTATAAGTGTGTACTTCTAAATGCACTACCTGAGTTCTAGACACCAGTTTCTTGAAGGGCCAGCTGTCCTCGTGTCTGACCAGGTCCACAGTGAGCAGCTCACAGGCTGACAGCTCGTGTACGCCTAAGTTTCTCACTGAGCTTCGACGGTTGGATGAAGTGGTGGTTGGAGCCAAGACGATCTTGGCTTTTGGGGAGACCTCTGCTGGAGAAATAGTGGCAAACCAAAATACATGTGAACAAGAAGTCTTAGAGAAAATGAAACCGGAAAAACAACAGGTGTCTGCATTCAGTTAAATATCAAGTATGCCATTTTTTCAGTGTCATTTTCTTCAATCCAAGCCTAATATAAAATTTAGGGAAAAAACATTGGCATTTACATGGAATTTTGTTCCATTTGTTCCCTTTTTTCATACTGTATCCTATAAAACCTTTTTTCTGTCACAAGATAAAAATGGCAATCATGTCTTT